GTAAGGATCTTTTGTCCTATTATCAGACAAATTTAGTTGTCCATAAATTTAAATGCCAATGTGAAGTGGCGTACATAGGACGAACCAATTTGAGGGTGGAGGCGCTGATTTCGCAACATGTTCCCGCCTATTTACGTTCAAGTAGTTCAAGCCAATCTTTAAGAACTACTCAAGCAGTCCACATTTCGTCTATTGGACACCATTTGCTGGACAGTCTGGACTGTGCCGCCGACTATGAAGACACGTGGTTTTCAATTCTACACAGTGCTCACTCGGTTTACCATCTCCAAGTTCTTGAGGCTGTGTACATAAAATTTCATCAGCCGAGCCTGTGTAGACAAAAGGAGCATTTTATGCGCTCCTTATGTTTGTTGGAGGGACTGTGAGTTTTTTTCCATTTTATACTCTTGTGGAACTTCCTATTCTTTTTTTTTTAATTATTTACAATTAAAAAAATATATTTTATTTTAATTGCGTTCCAACTTTCCCTCTTTTTTCGTTATTGTGGTTGTGTTCTTGATTGTTTTTACAATTTGCCAATATTCACTTTTGGAAAAATGGTTGCTTGAAAAAAGGTGTAAAATGCCGTCCATTTTGTTCAAAATATATATATATATATATATATATATATATATATATATATATATATTGCGTATATTTTGACAGCATGTTTTCAGTAAGATATGTCTCATTTAATAATTTAGACAAGTTTTGTCTATTTATTTTCAATAGGATCTTCATAGTATCCTTATTAAAGGAAGAGAGAAAATTACAATGTTGAAACATATTCATTTATTCCGGGTATTTTAACCATTAGCACAATATCTAGATTTTTACTAATATTTTTAAATACATAAAAAAAAACACTTTTAGACATTTTATTACTTAGTTACCTCCTCTGACGTTTTACATTAAAAATTTAAAACATACAGTACATAACCTTAGCATTTTTCTCAAGTAAAAAAAAACAAACTTTCAAATGAACACAACAATATTTGTCTAAGAAAAAAAAAACCCTGATGATGACATGGTGTTAATATCGAAAGTACTCGAAATAAATGAATATGGATCAAAATGATAATTTTCTCTCTTCCGTTAACAATTAGGGTGGAAAAGAACTTCATAAAAAATTTATCTCAAAGGCCATTGTTAGAGTGAGTTTAAGTAACCAGACTTAGATAATCTGTCGTTGAGTGATAGTTGATAAGATCGTCTGTAAATTTATTTCTTAGTGTATTCAATCATCACTGTGTTCTCCATCTATGTGGCTCTGCCACAGATCAATCTTATGCCTATTCTCCGTTGGAACAGAGGCTGAGAGCGCAGTATTGAGGAATTCTAGCTACACTAATATCCAATCAATGATCTTATCTCTCATGAGATTAAATTCTAACACATGTAATTTATTTTCATTATGGGGCAAAAAAATAGACAATATGCCATAAAACAGTGGTTAAAAAAATAGGTGTAGACTATAGTTATTTACCAAATGTAGGTTCTTCTCTGTGCCGCATACCTTCAATAAGTGGTCGATCATGGCTCTCCACAACTTCCTAACATTTGTAACTCTTAGCATTTTTTTGTTTTTTTAATCTCCCTCATCCTCAATGTTCTGCCATCCATTTTCACAAACTTGTTAGGTAGATGATATAATGGAATATGCATACACCTGAGTTCCCTCTCACTGGAATATAATTGGCTGGTGTCCGTCATAAATACAGACGGACGTGTAGGTACGACAGAGTTAAGTCTATGACGACGCCCATTGGACTACGCCATTGGCTATTCTATTGGTCTACACCTATTACCTGTGACTACAATGAGTACCAGTCGATTACTGCTACCGTGTACTACTTGGTTATAGTAGCTAAACCCACTTAGCTACTTCGATCAAATATATCCCTTTCCGGGACATATCAGTAGGACTACTCGCTATTCTCCTCTGTCCTTTGCCTTTGATGTGCCATGTGAGTGTCAAATTTTCCAAGCCTGCCTTTCCTCATCAATGTTCAACTGTTTCTTTCAGAGTCTAAGTGTCCTTTTTGTTTAGTGTGAATTACTATGCGTCGATGATTTGGTTTTAGATTTTACCGGTCGTTAAGCCTCTCCGCGCTACTAACAAGGTATTCACTGAAATGGTTAATTATCTTTGGTTCACCTTTACTTCTTTGTTCTTGTTAAGTATTTATTTGTGGTTGTAATTAAATACTGTTTTATTTTAACATTGAAGTTTTGAGTTATACTTAATTATTAGCAGCCACCAAACGTCACAAAATCGAGGAAGCACCCTCTCGACAGTCTGTTCCACAAAGTAACTGTTCTCGGAAATAAGTTGTCTTAGTGGAGCATCCTTCTTACCAACGGAATACAAATGACGCTTGATGACTGCTGCTATTTCTGGTTGTCATGCTTGACAACACTCACTAAAACTTCTCTTTTGTTACAACTGTTGCTATTGAAGACCTGCTATTATTTAACTTTCTTTCTTTATTAGAAGCTCCCATATCGTATTTATTTCTATGCTAGCCTTACTAAGGAGGTCCACATAGCATATGCGCTGATTCTTTCAGGCGTGTCTCTCTCCAATGTTATTCTTTGTTTTCACTTCATTCCACAGGGGTATTGAGTACTACCCTTTTCCCTCCATACATGATCAGCTATAGCTGATTTCATTGTCTCTCCCCTCATTACGGATTTTCGATTCTTTGTCACAACAACAAGAAATGGAGTACACATAGTTCTTGGTCGTATTCTTCGCTTTGTTATATTTTACTCGACAGAGAATTCTCCGAAGAGTGAAACTGCTTCTGAATATTGTCCTAATGTTCTATAGACCGCAGATCTCCTGAATTTTTTTTTCCGATGAGCCCTTGACGTAAGGTAGACAAACTGTGGCAATTTTCTGATGCGCCTCCTTGAACTTTCTGTTTCCACCTACGATGATATGGTTGCAAGGTAGTTGTTAATCTGAAGGGTACGCTTGATGTTGATCATTACTTGTTGCCATAAATCTGAGTGGCCATTTATGAATTTTGCAGGGTGTTGTAGACATCGGACTTGTTCGAGATATTAATGCATCATAGGAAGGCGAGCTCATTATTATTTTCTTATGCCATTGGGAACGAGATCGAAGGTCTTATTGAGTCCACATTATCCAGCAATATTTGTACAGCTTCCTAGTGCGGCTAGACTATGAATGTATCATAGATGCATATGCAGGGCGCGATGGATAAATTGTCGTATAAATTACGTAAAAATGAAAACAACACTGACATCTCATTTTAATAGATATATCACCAAAATTACACAAAATCTCTTGAAATAATAAAGAATACATTTATTCAATAAAATCGCCATTGGCTTAAAGCACGGCCACCAGAGGACTTCAGAATCTCTTGCAATTCTTCTGGATAGACTCTCCTTGTTTAAGTTGGTGAAAGCTGCCATAATCTTTGCCTTCAGTTCATCTTTTGTCTTACAAGGAGTTTCGTTGGTTTCTTGCTCAACTGCGGCATAATAATCAAGAGGCTTGCAGTCTGTTAACCATGACTAGGCTTACCTGCTTGTGTGATATGTTGCAGAGTCCTGTTGCCAAACATAGTGTCTTCAAGCAGCCACCCTCTTGACCCAGGGCAGTACTATCTCCTCAGGGCACTTGATGTAGGCCTCCATGTTGAGTCTGAAGCCTTCACCAACAAATTCGGGAGTTTTTTTTATCAGAACAATCAGAGTGAGATATCCGGTACCTTCGTAATCCCCATTAGACTCATCCAACATTTTCCGAATCCTCGGCACTGTCCTCAGATTGACACTCAAACACTCTAAAATGTTCGTATTGGAGCTTCCGACGCGAATACCAAGCAGTATAGGAAGCTGTTTCCAAATTTCTGGCGGAAGTGATTTGCGTCATGGTTTAGGGTTTCTATTTCTGACAGTGCTGAACTGGCCATACTATAATGTGCAGTTGACAAAATAAAAAACAAACAACGCGTATGCGCGAAATTTAAAATATAAAATAGCGACAATTTACCTATCGCATCCTATATATATATATATATATATATATATATATATATATATATATATATCATAGTCATAATTTTTGGCTTCAGTATTGCTTTTTTTAGAGCCATTTCCTCGGAGTATTCGATTCATAAGTTCTCTATAATTGGTGAAAACGGTGAACCCATGGCCAGGCCTTCCTCCTTTTGGTATATGCTAGACTCTAGTTGAAACAATTTTTTCTTTACACAACGTCAACATTTCCATCAGATTATCTATAGGAATGTTAGTACGTTCTCCAAGGAAAGGGTCTGATTTCAATCGGTTTCGAATCACTGTCAGGGCCTCATTTCTAGGAACTCTGGTGTACTGGCTTACCACATTCAAGTTTACCACCCAATTGCTGTAGATGGGATCTCCTATGATCAATTTCACAAAACGTTCTGAGTTTTTAACATAGAAATTCGCTGTTAGTGGATTGACTATATCCACTAGGAATCCCACTCAGCGGGTAGGAGGCTGAGCCCCTACAGCTGGCTATAGGTCTCAATGGAATACTAAGTTTGTGAATTTTGGTTAAGACCATAAATATGTCACCTTTAATGTTGAATCAGTTGTCTATACTTATTCAGTGTGAACTACTCCTTGTTCTTATTTAGGACCTATGACAGCTTCCTCTCATAGTTTTTAGAGTTGGATCCCACGTAGCAGCAACTTACAAACCATTTGCAATAGCACAACGAAAATGATTGAAAATGGATAGCACTTTAGACACTTTTGCATACAATATACTTACAATTACCTTGTTTGTTACTTTCAGATGTACTAGAGAGGGGTTACTGCGTAAAAAACGCACACAGAGACACATACATATTTATCTGAGAACGAAATAATAGTAAGTAAATAAATGACAAGACTTCCGTTTTGTTATTTATATTTATATTATATATATATATATATATATATATATATATATATTCAAGCACATCACGGTGCATATGTATAATGCTACCGAATTACACTTACACAATGTGCTGTGGCGTCCAATGCAAGCTGGTCATGTACTGGGCTACCCGCCACCCGCTGTCACCTTGCAACAGATGGTTCATTCTGCATACCAATGTACAGGGACTTATGAATCATAACATTGAGATTTACTTCAAGCATCAGTACAATCAACCTCCGTTCACACTACACCTACTAATAATTTCGGAACGTCAATTATGTGTTAACGTTAATAGAATGAAGTGCCAAAAATTTATTGGAACTTCCTATTAATGTTTAACTCCTTCCTTCGCTGTTAGACGATATGGCATCGAATCTTTGGAGTTCTCTGATCATTATCTGTCTATATTTTTAAGATGAGGTATTATGTAGATTATTTACATTATTCGGACTATTGTCCTCATCTTTGTCGCCATATTTTTTACAACTTTTCGGACGTTGTACGCTCCGGTCTTCTTCAGGTGGTTGGAATGTCGTACTGAACCCTTTATTTAGCTCAATGGGGTAGATTATCACCTACTCTTTCACTTACTAAAAAAATAGACGGTACACTCAGATATTTTTATGTTAGCATCCTCAAAAGAGGAAATATTTTATTATTTTTTCCATCATAAATGGATTATCAATTCTTGGTAGGAAGGGTAATTTTAAATAATCCTGAAATTACTTGGTGTAATTAAAAGGTATGCTTGTTTGCATAACTTATTTTATTATTCTGATTCTTTCATTTTCTCTTTAACCAAAAGCTAATTCAACAAATGTTATACTTTCAGGTTTCGGGTCATCTTCAGAATTGGACAAAGTATTTTTAGTTGAATATCACCATCTGTCATAGTCTACAATGTCCATTCCTTTATCTATTTTTTATAATCTCTGTTCTCTGAAATGACACGTTTAAACACGGATCCAGTATAGACAGGTGCAAAGACTTCCTTTCCAAATATGCGAAACATCTGTTCACATCTGGATCAACGATAGGTGAATATTTGCTACAAAGCCAGCAATGTGCTAGGTCTTACAAGAACACATCCTCAGTACTGAGAAAGGCTAATTTCATTTGAAAGTGTTGGAATCTATTTACATTAAGCCCTACCAGTCATCTCTCAATAAGAAGGTGTGTAATTAGCCTGTTATACTTTGTTATATAACATTTGGTGTGTGGGTGTTCATTTTAGTCGTTGTGCACAGTTCTCGCCCTCAGTTGAGCTCTCATGAGTGAACCAATAAACCGGGTTAGCTCTGATGAGAGTGGAGAGATAAACCAGTCTAGCTCTGATGAGAGTGGAGAGATAAACCAGCCTAGTTCTGATGATAAATGATCAATAAACCGGTTTAACTTTACTGAGAGACGATCGATAAACCGGTTTAGCTCTGATGAAAGAGTTCCAATATACTTGTTTTTGCTCTGACGAAAGAGGGCCGATAGACTGGTTTAACTCTGACGAAAGTGGCCCGATAAACCAGTTTAGCTGTGATGAAGCAGGACCGATAAAGGAATTTAGCTCTGATGAGAAAGGATTGATAAACCAGTTTAGTTCTGTTGAGAGAGGATCGATAAACTGGTTTAGCTCCGATGAGAGGTGACCGAAATACCTGTTTAACTCCGATGAAGGTGGACCGATAAAATGGTTTAGCCTTGATGAGAAAGGACAGATGAACTGGTTTAGCTTTGATAGGAAAGGTTCGATAAACCAGTTTAGCTGTTTTACTTGTTAAATCAGGTTGTATTTCATTATTACTACTTCACGGTAATATTATTTTGTTCTCTCCACTTTTTTTGTTAATATCTTTTAACATGTCCGCTTTTATCGCTTTAATGATTTATATTCATGAAATAATAGTGATTTTTGCCTGGACATTATCTTTTCATCTTTGCTTGTATCTTCTCATTCTCTTCCTTATCCCTTTCTATATTCGTTTCCCTTCCAGGTGTGTATCTAAATGTTATATAAGTAGGAATTAAATTCAAATGCAAAACAAGGAATAAGAAATGCCCAAATACAGCCGCAGCAGAAATACGTGCCGCATAGACTCCCCAAAAATACTTCCCACAAATCTTTTCTTCATATTCAGATAAAAAGATTTTCTCTTTCTTTCGTCAACATCCCCTCTCCGTTTTTATTTATTTATTTTTCCTTTCACTTGTTTTTCTTTTCTTTTTCTCTCTAGCTCTCTTACCTCCTCCTACCGATCTTTCATCACACACAATTTCTTACCTCCAAATTGTCCTGCTTCGTTCTCTTTCCCTTTCTCCTCCTATCCCTTTAGTTTTTTTACCTCTTAACTATCTTCCTTCACACCCTATTTCCTCCGCTTCCTCTTCCTATCCCTTCATCTTTCTTAGCTCCCACCTATGTTCCTCCACGGATTCTTTTCCTCCTCCTCCTCCTCCTATTCCTCGAGCTTTCTTACCTTCTGATTATCTCATTCACACACTACTTCTCTCAACTCTTATCTCCCTCACTTTCTTACCTTCTACCTATGTCTCTTCACACTCTTTTTACTAGCCTCCTTCTGTTCCTCTCGCATTCCTACCCACACCCATCCTCTTTCATACCCATTTTTCTTCCTCTCTCTATCCCTCTAGTTTTCTTACCACCTACCTATCCCCCTCCAGAACGCGTAACTGATTACATCTCAGAAGGGCTAAGGGTCGGAAAGATTTTTCAATGCTACGTCCCTTCAGAATGTTGACGGTCTTTGTTCACCACAACTTCCTTTCTTTAATATCTTTTAATTGCCATAATTTTTTAGGAGATATAATGAAGTGCTTTCTGTTGACCTACTTTAACGTTTTGAATTTACAGTTCTTTTTCTCATAGACTGGTTGCCAACCAGGGCTTTGTCTGCTATGCTATTTAATCCAAAGTTGGAAGAGGGAAGAGATGTATTTATAAATTTCGCAATGGTATTTGTTTGAAAGTGATCGCAACAGATTAGCTAAGAATGAAGAAAGGAAATATTTTCACGAAGACATTTAGAAAACGTAGTCTATCAAATTCATATTTTTTGAGTAATCATTATATTATCGGCAGTATAGAGAAAAAAATGTTAACACTCTTCTTGGTATTGTAGCTGTTTTCAATAATGTCGTCGTTTGAATGACTTCAGCTCTTCCCCTAATTTCCAGTACATTCATTATTTTGCCTAGGTTTTTCGAGACTGCGACCAGCACTCAGATAATAACTAGCACTACTGTCACCTTCGTGTTCTACAACTTCTTCAGCTTTCTGGAAAGTTCAAGATATTTATCTTTTCACTTCCTTTCAGGTCTTTTATGTGGTTTGCAGGAAGAGCGAAATCCGCTGTTATCATTTCTCCTTTACATATACCAGCTACGTTTTTCCGGCTTTGATTGGGTGATCCATCTGATTGGGTGATCCATTTGAATCTCCAAATTCCAAGAGATTTCCTGCTTTCATTATTACTGTTGCCTTTACTGGTGTCTCTGATATTATTTCTAGTGGTGGTGGTAGTGGCGGTGTTGGCAGAAGTAATTACCTAGGTTCCTATTGATGTCAGTTGTCGTAAGTGCTAACATTTCAACAAAGTCAGTAAGTACATTTTTTCTGGTGATATGTGTGTGTGTGCAGGAAAGAAAATAAAAAAAGAGAAGTTTCGAACGGGTGATAAAGACAAAAAAAAAGTGGGAAGAGTAAGCTTGCTAGAGACACAGGGAGAGAGAGAGGGGGGAGTGTATGGCTCAGAGATTCTCGGAGAGTACCAAATGAAATTAGATCCATTTTACTTCTTGCACTGAAAAACTCGAGTAATCAAAACAAATGAACGCGCACGCATTTACCGATATATTTATCTCTTTGTCATACTTTTCTGCCTACACGTGTGTAAATACGTAAACGTGCTCTTTGAGCAGCGGTTCATGCGACAAGAGCATCATGCCCAAATATTAAAGGACTCCATTTTCTGTTATATTAGGTTGAGTCATAAGTAATTTCCATTTTAGGAGAACGAATTGGAATGACGAATTTATCATTGTAACTGCCATAAATATATGGCTTTGAAAGGGCTAGAAAGGAATGGGCTGATTCGGGTCATCAACAACTCGACCACTCGAAGTATTAGCCTAGTACCGTATAAATACAAGAAAATCAATAATTTAGAAATATTGCACTTGATAGGAGGTATGGTGGCGTAATGGATAGCGACTCGGATTGAGGAGAGCCGAGTTCGAATTCCAGGTGAATCAAATTCATTCACTTACCCTTGGGAAAGGTATGAATCCTCTTCTTCTCCTGCAGATGCCGGACACACTACCACATAAAAAAATAAAGCCTACTGTGGGAAAAAATCTACCTCGTCAGTCATGTATCGAAAGATACATAATCGCCTAAGCATGTATCACGCATGGCACATAACTAACTGACTGATAAATTATAAATAAATGACACTTGATAAATTATTTAAATCAATTTTCACATCAACCAGTCGCTTTCTTATTTCTGGATACGAAAATTGATTCATTTATTTTGCAATAAAACTTATACTGGAGACGTAAAAAAACACAAAAGATGCCTACTGCAATTAAAAATATTATTTTTTAATATTATGAATTGCAATAAAAATGATTTAAAACTAAACTTCAGTAGAACATACTAATCACCACAAGTTATCAGACAAGTTTGTCAGATTTGGTTACAACAAGCGAATTTGGTTATAGTTAACATTTCCTGCGCTACTAAATTTTGAATTGACTTTTTTTTCTTATTAGCAACCAAGGTAGACCTAGCGTATTTTTAAAGAAGTGTCATTAGTCGACAAATAGTGAAATTTTAAATTTAATAGTGATGCCTTTTAAAATGTCGCTCAATCTGGCAAATGGTGGAGTAATGGATAGCTTTGAAATTGATTACAAGCAAAACGAGACCACGAGTGAAAGATTTGAATTGAATGATTTTCTCTCCTCCTTGAACTAATTTAATTCTAAAAATTAAAATATTGGCATACTTCATGAGACTAAAAAAGATTCATTAAGTGAAGTAATGCTCATCTTGTTTCGACATTAAATCAATTAATTCTCTATAAAATCGCAATACACTGATTTTCCCAGATTGTTGTCCTCATCTTGAATGTTATTGTTACAACGTTTCGACACTTTTAAACTCGGGCCTACTTCAGTTGTATAGTTCAATGCAAGAGACAAATGACATCACGAAGACGAATAAATTCGATAGAATTAATAGTTGCGAAATATTCTCTGAAGAGGATAGCGGAATCAGAACAATCTGACGCTGTGCATTGAATAAAGGGTTCAAGTTTAAATTCCAAAAAAATTACAAACTATGACAAAAAACTGAAGAAGCCTTAAGAGTACAACTGAAAGGTTGTTACTATAACAACCTAGACGAGGATACTAATATAAGGAAATCTGTTCATCGTCTCACATATTCAGATAAAAGTGATGAATATATTTATATTTTTCTTACAAGAATTTATAGGAGTACAGTAGCTGTATTGTTCATCCGAAGAAACAATGATGCATGAAAGAATGGCTACTAAATAAATTAAATCTCTTGAATTTTTTTTCTCGGGGTAGCGTGGAAGTGACAACGGAATAGGTAACTCATTAATTAAACTCATTAATTGTTGCCTACCCACTCGAATGCCATTCTTCTTCTTGGGCGATCATGGCTCTCCCAAACGTCCTATCCCTTATGGCTATTAGTAGTTTTTCTCCCTTTGATAAGGTTACTACTCCAATTCCACCATTCACCGACCGATAACGATAGGAGGAATTTAGATTTTTCAACAATTCTGTCTTTTAATTCTGACACGGTAATTATATATGCACCTTGTCTGTAGAATGGACCAATATCGCGCTTTTCCTTGTATCTCTGTTTTTCATTCTCTCTTTCACTTTATATATATATATATATATATATATATATATATGAAGAAATATAGTTTTAAGGTGTGCTATATTTATGGGATAAAGTGCTCAATATCAGAGATAGAGCGTATGTAAATATAAATATAAAAAGTGAACATTGAAGACAACACTCAGAGGCGACAGGTTGTTTCATGCTGGACGCAATCGTCAGGCCGCCTGATATATATATATATATATATATATATATATATATATATATATGTGTGTGTGTGTGTGTGTGTGTGTGCGCGCGCAAATATGTTGAAAAATAGGAAAGAACACGTTAGGTAAATAATCCAGAGTTCTTTAGTATTTTTGTTTTTATTTTTAAAAAAGCAGTGCTCCATACAGAAGTAGAGCTTAAATTATAATTATTGTTAAAAAAAAATATGGTTCTTTCGCTGTGACTGATCAGACGATGTGCGTACATGAATGCTATCATTCGCTTTGAAATGTACACCCCGGCCCTCTTTCTTTCTTTTGACTTATTTCCGAAGATGACTGATATCTTGATACAAATTAACTTGTATGCCCCTTATCAAAATGGTCGTTTCCATATTAATTAATTTTGCGAATGAACATGCTTATAAAGATGCGTAAATTTCAAGATTGGTTATTCCTAAATTTTCGCTTGAGGATGAAACAGGGCTTGATACTTTAATTCAATTTAATTTCAATAATTATATTGAGGTTTTTGAAACATAAGAACTCTTATGTAGCGAAGGAATCATATTTTTTCTAAATAATTATAATATATAAATATATATATATATATATATAGTAATGGACTCTCCCGTCGGTTTCGACGTATGAGGATCTGACAGCTTACTTGATTCAGTTATCTTAAGTGGCATTTAAGACCCGCTAGTGATTTACAAAGGAGGCCACATATGGAGCAAGTGTAAGGATTGTGAGATGAGATCACTGTTAGATTGGCTGACCTTTTAGATCTTGCTCTCGCTTCTTGAAGATGATTCAGACAAGCAGATTGATCTTAGCCATGGGCGTCCTACATTCCTGTAGCCCTGATCTAACTGGCTGTACATTAGGATCTTGGGTATCCTGTCATCAGACATTCTCAAGACATGACCTGTCCACCGTAACTGAGACTGTGATAGATAGATAGAGAGAGAGAGAGAGAGTGAGAGAGAGAGAGTTATCTCAAGCGATCGTCAGACACTGATCTAATGATCGATTAAGACACGTCCAAGTCCTCAGTCAGTTTTGATTTCTATGTCCACACTGTTTATTTCTATATACGCTTTAGCTCTGATATTGATCACTCTTTTAAATAATGTGTGTGTGTGTGCTGAATTTTTAAATATATTGGAAACATTTAGACTTAGATTAAATCTAAATTAAATACAAATTGAGAAAAGAAAAAATAATTAGTTTCATCAATTATACTATGAATGATTCAACTTTCAAACTATTTTCTTAGATTCAGGATTAACCATTTATGCTAACATTGAACTTGAAACTTGAAACTTGAAACTTGAAACAATTACTCAGAAATAAATGTTTTGAGCATCGACATATTTCAAGAAACTTTAATAAATGCGATCTGACTAGAAAAGAAATCGATAAAAATATCAATTGGTTTTACAAATTAAATTTTCGGAAATGCATATTTTTTTAAATGTTTCTTTTGATCGACAATAACATACACGATATTTTTGATTGTTAGATTAGAGATCAATATAAACGTTTCTTATATTAAGCATCAGGAAGAGACAGTCGAAATTTCTAGGACACATAATGAGGAAAGAGAGCTTGGAAAATTTGATACTCACAGGACAGATTGAATACAAGGGGCACAGAGGAAAACAACGTATAACATGATTAATGATCTTGAGTAAAAATAGGTGGAGGAACAAAGTTTAGAAGAGATAACAAAAAGATTTATGAAGACCTACAAGGGATAGGAAGCAGTGGAGAGTCATGATCGGCTTCGCCTTGAGAGACACGTCACATAAAGAAGTATTTTTCGTTCAAACATCGCACCAGCGATATTTTTAGCATTACTTTATCGGTAGCTTCATCAATCCTCAAAGAAGTATAAGTCCTGTCAGGATTTATCATTAGAGAACACAATATATGCAGATGGCACATTGCTGCTCTCAGACACAGAAAGGAAACTGCAGGATCTCTTAGTCCATGTAGTAAAAGAAAAGAAGATAGGACTAAACATCAATTGTAAGAAGACAGACTGTATGGTTATCGGCAAGAGGAACAGCCCGGAATGCCGGTTACGTATTGGAGATAGCAAAATAATGCCAGTACAAAAATTAAAATATCACGGAAGTGTTTTAACAGAGTCCGGAAAACGTGACACCGAAATCCGATGATGCATTTGAATAGCGAAAGATGACTTCCAAAAGCTAAACAAAGTACTAAGAAACGGGGAAGCTTCGTTAGAAACAAAGAAAAAAGAGCTGAACTGTTATGCAATATCGGTTTGCCTATATGGCCGTGAATTCTGTACAATATCCTTACAGATTAAGAAAAGGTTTGAGACGACAAAAATGTAATTCTACGGAAAGACGTTAACAATACCATGGACTGGATATCTGACTAACTAGGAAGTTTTAAGGAAATGGAAACAAAAAAGAATGCTTATACTTAGAATCAGAACGAGGCAGCTGTAATTTCTAGAATACATAATGAGAAAAGAGGGTTTAGAAATCGTGACACACTCGGGTCATATTAAAGACAAAAGGAACAGAGGAAAGCATCAAATAACCCCTGCCCAGCGAGCTTGCTTAAATGGTTGGCAGAATAAGGATTAGGAGAGATAGAAAAAACAAGCCTGTCTTAGTACTACAAAGGATAGGAAGTTGTGAAGAGCCATATTTGGCCATGTCTTGAAGGGACACGGACCACGAAGAAGCTAGAGCAATGTAAACCAATCAATAGGGTTTTTTCATTGAAGACATTGGAATCATTGAGGCATTGTTTTTTTTTAATAATCCCCCACAGTGGTCAGCGCATTACAGTCCGCGACCGACCTATATGCTATTATTTTTTCTTATAAAAAAAAACAAAATAGAAAATGATTTCAACTGCATATTCACTCACTAATACGCGCATCTAATATGTATAAAATAACAACAGCGTTTTTTTGTGTCTCTAAGATATCAAAGTATGAAAATCTTATTTACATTAAATAATATATACAAAACAAAATTACATTTTCGAAGATATTAAAACTATAATGGTTACGAAACATAATCAAGACTATCAGATGATATAAAGCAATTAATCATGGAAAATATTTACAAATATAAAAGTAGAAAATTCATTGACTTTTACAAATGTCGCCCAGGTGAATTACGTTCTGCTTTAAATATATTTCACCCAAAATGTTCAGTTTTTCAGATTTATGTAAAATATTTTCAACTATAAAGCACTCATATAGGTTGATCTTCTTAACTGATCAACATCCAATCAACGTGGACGAGAGGAAGCACAAATTTTGAATCATAATTTGAATTAATTTTTAGCTAAAAAAAAAAAGAATTTCTTCCCTTTAAATAAGGATTTTTATAAGGATCGCATTAGAGTTTATATTTATTAACACTGGAAAATATTATTTAACAAGCTTCAAATGAATGATCAAAATAGTTTTATCTTAGTTTCATATTAGGCAATATACATATCTATATATATGCTGATATATATATATATATATATATATATATATATATATATATATATATATATATATATATAAAAAAGGCTTAAACACTAATATTCCATGGTTATAATTTATTACATTGGAATCGTAATTACGATCCAATTCATCAGACTTTCAAATTGAAAAATATATATATATATGTGTATATTAACCAGTAATATTATATATATTGTATTGACCTGCGATCCAAGAATCTTTTGCAAATCTGACCAATCCTATCTGACCAATTCTATTCTAGCATATCAAAGTAGGATTAGTAAACCAACTTTAATTTTATCTAAATGCATAGGAAATATTTACTTCTTGGACTGAGTCAAATACGTCCTTTTTATGTGAACCACGCCCAGTTTGCTGGTCATCAAACTGCCAGTCTAAGCTAAGTTTATTAAATTAAATATTATGGAATTACCACACCTTTTCTGCCAGGGCATCCGTTAGGTGGCGTTGTATTAAAAGAAAGGGATATAAACCCTCTTTATCTTGTATTCATTACATCACCTGCACATCCAAGCTTACATCACCTGGTATTCCCAAGCGGTCGACCGTCTAGGTACTAATCAGGTTTTACGTTGCTTAACTTTAGTGATCGTACAGGAACCAGGGTTTCAAAATATGATCGTAAGCTCTCACAGAGAGAGAGAGAGAGAGAGAGTGAAAATTAGAAAGAGAGAGAGAAAACCTTTCATTGGTTGTAAGTAGAAGTATAATTATATCTCCAGGAGCTCTGCTTACCAGGAAGTACCTCCCCATTGTACTTAACTGGGAGATTCAGGATTATTCCCTGTAACCTATACTGTCCACAGTGTGAAGTACACTTAGCAATTTCTATCCATTACCCCATGTAAGTGTCGATGTCCACACTTTTAAAAAGATCTTATATCATCTACCATCTCTGTGGGATGAAGAGAAATTATTGCTATTCATCCTAAGGAGTAATGATTTATTCAAGCAATGGACATGTGTCAATTTTTTCGGCTATGCAAGTCTTCAGAAAGATGATGAGAATAACCTGTACGGAAAATGTGAGCAATGTGGAAGTTTTAAAGAAAATGTGAACAAAAAAGAATATTTGTGTTTAGGATCAGAAAGAGACAGGTGACATTTAGAGGATATATAAGGAGGAAAGACGGCTTGGAGAATTTGACATTCACATAAGTGAAACAAACAGAAATAAATTTTGCAAATAGGGGTCTGAACAAACTGTAATGAACCAAACATTTCTGAGAAGATATCCAGGTTGGTGGAGATTAGAAAAAAGAAATTAATAATAAATGAAGATGAAGAAGAAGGAGGAGGAAACAAGAAGAAGAAGAAGAAAAAGGACAGAAAAACCAAAACAGAAAGAAAAAGTAGCAGAAGGAAAGAAGAAGGAGAGAATAACTAGAAGAAGAAGAAGGAAAGAAAGAAAGAAGAAAAACAAGAAAAACAAGAACAGAAAGAATAAGTAGGAGAAGGAAAGAAGAAGAAGAAGAAGAAGAAGGGAAGAAGAACTAGAAGAACAAGAACAGGAAGAAAGAGTAGGAGAAGGAAAGAAGAGGGAAAGAAGAACAAGAATAAGAAAAGAAGAAGAAGCAAGAGAAGAACAAGAATAAGAAAAGAAGAAAAAACAAGGGGAGGAGGAGGAGAAGAACAAGAACAAGAACAACAACAACAACAACAACAAGGATAGAAGAACAACAACAACGACAAGAAGGAGAACGAGGAGAAGGAGAAGAATAAGAACAAGAAGGAGGAGGAGAAGTAGAAGACGGAAAAAGGAAGAACAACAACAACATGAACAAGAACAACGACAACGACGAAGAGAAGGAGAAGTAGAAGAAATGAAGGTGCAGAAGAAGAAGTAATGTGCCAGAAGATCTAATGTATGTCATAAAAATCTGAAAAATAGCATCAATACAAATTCAGAATGTTTAAATGTGGAGATTTAAGGAACACCGGCGTCTTAGCGTGAAGAAAGTAAATTAAATGAAAAAATCCAAAAATAAAAAACAAGAATAAAAACAAAAACAAAAATGACTGACTAGGGAAATAAAAGTTGCTTGCATTTGAAACAATTAAATATAAACTATAAAAGAAATGTGCGCATAAAAGATTATGAAACAGATCGCGTGAAAAACGAACAAAACAGTGTGATTTAGTAAAGAACGGAATGCAAAGGGAACTGAGAAAAGCAGAAACAAATATGGCCGAACGCGTGACTATTTTTCTCTTTGATCACATGCTGATCATTAAACACTTCAGTTGTTTGCGCATGCGCCTCTTCATATGCTTAGAGATCAATTTTGCTCCAAGCATCTCAGATTTTCATGCAATATTCTCTAATATTATGCTTAACACACTGTACGCCGCCAAATGTAGATATATAAATGCACTATAGTCGGTATGAATGTACGAACTGGCTGTCGCCATAAATGTTTTATTCTCGTCTAGCCACAGTTTTCTAAATAACATGATAGATCCACTTAATAGCATTCGTACTTCCATTTGTTTCTATTGGCAAAAACCGCGTTGGAATTCTATAACGTTGGGTATGGACCTAATTTGGCCCGGATTGTAACATTCTGTCCCCAAGGAAATCAGGTGCCTTTTGTAAAAAGACTATCTTTCTGGGTTATATCTATTACTATGGAGTGACCAAAGTAGTGGACAATATTACTGCCGAGGTGATCGAAAGTTGAACTTTTTGGGGAGGGCTTTTCTTTGTGATTGAGCTGATTGTGTATTTGTGGCCAACACCAGTGATTAGTATTCGAACCAGGGAATTGAATGTTGATGATCAAGACAGACGAATCCTTCCCACTTGGAAGATTTGCGTTACACAATCTTTCCAGCTACATTTCACGGTATTTGGCCGTGAATGTCATATTATGAATTATATTATGGCATATTAAATTTAGTAATCTATTATTAACTTAAAAAGTAGAAGAGTGAGAGATTGACAGGCGAATAAAAATAAAGAAAAGGACATAAAAACAAATGCGAAAAAAGGTCCAAAAATGAAAAGAGTGTTGAATAAAAAAGGAAAAGAGAGAAATAGGTTCGCCTACCGTCCGGTTTACGCACTTCCCTAGTATTTTGAACAGGAGTAGAGGCTTATCCCTTGTTGCTTATTTAGGATTGGGTCTACGATTACTTCTAAAGTCTTTTCACTCTCTTTCACTTCTAATAGCCCTTTGCGTCTTAGTGGCATTATCGTCTTGCTTGAGGTGATGTGATTTTAAATAATTGATTTTAAAAAGGATGCGTGTGATCATTAATCTCCACAACTTCCTATCCTTTGACGTACTTAGCAATATTGATCTTTTCACTATCCCTCTCTCTACCTGTTCTGACATCCATTTACACGTGGCCGTTAGGTAGGTTAGTCCCTGTTTCTTTTTCTGCCTCTTGCCTTCTTATGAGTGTCAAATTTTCCTCATTATGTGTTGTAGAAATTCCAACTGTTTCTTTCTGATTCCAACGATGTATAAGCATCCTTTTTTGTTACCAGTTTCCTTTAAAATTTCTCTTTATTCATATATGTGGTAATAAAATATGCACATCCCATCTCCCCTCTCACTTGTAACCACCCACTGTAATAAAATAAGCCCATCCTATCTCCCCTCTCGCTTGTAACCATCCACTGTAATAAAATAAACATATTCAGCGCTAAAGCTGAATGAGTCAAAGAAAGCTTCATAAGCTTCTACTTAGATTTGTTATTATATTACAATATAGTAAACAAAAACAGTGTAAGAAATAAAGATATAAGCTATTCACATTATTACACGCGGTCTTCATCTTTGTTGCTATTATCACAACGCTTCGGCTATTGCGCAGTTCAACCTTCATCAGGTATTTTGAATTGAAACCTTTATTTAATTTTTGGTGATTTGCATTGTACGAATACTTTTTTCGCCCATTACAATGGATAAATGGGATTTATTTCTATTAGATCAATTTTTTTCTGTTTTCTATGCATATTTAGTTATTATGGATCTGTGTATAGTTAATGAAAAGTATGTTTATTCATTAGTTGGAAATACAATAAATTAGCAATTTCTATGTGTGCGAATATTTGTTTCACTCCCCTCCGTTGTGCGTATATATATATATATATATATATATATATGAATATATTGTTACGAATTCGCAACATATATAAAAGTATGAAGCAGAGGTTCAAAAAAAATAAAAATAAAAAAAGGCGGGTTCGCTCAGATAGAAACACACGAACAGGTACCGACGAACAACAAATACAACATTTATAAATAAAATTTATATAAAAAAATGCAAAATATAAAATATAGGGAAAATATGGAGTGACAGACGTACAATCAATAAAAGAACACTTAATTGATATTGAATGTCAGTTCAAAAGTTTGTGTTTCAGGAATCTGGAGTTGGAATGTTCATAATGACAGACCAAGTTTCTCGAGAATGTTTACAAAAGTCGGTTGTCCTTTCTGCCGCAATGTGAAATATGGAATTCCGGAATAATATTTGTGTTCTGTTTCCCCTTGGTTACTTGGATTGCATCCGAGATGAAAGTAAAATATTTTCTTTCTATTTATTTGGGTACACTATTCTTTTATTTTTTACCCATTGTCAAATAGATCCAATATCTCCTGAACGAAATTTCCTTATTCCCTACATTATTTTTTACCCATTGTCAAATAGATCCAATATCTCCTGAACGAAATTTCCTTATTCCCTACACAACAAGTAATGGGATAGAGGCTTGTGGATGTATTTTCATCCCTTACAATCGCATGATGAAACACTATTTTGGACATAGTAGAGAAACTAAAATTAAAATACCAAAATCCAACTTGGTATTGTATTTCACGTGCGTAGGTGAACGATTCTTACTCACTGTGTTAGGAGGTCATTCTGTTTGTGGCCAAGCGATCCCAAATTCCTGTCCTGCTATTTCTTGGGAGGCCATTCTGTCTGTTGTCAAGCGACCCCAAATTCCTTTCGTACCCACTTTCGGTTGATTTAACGGTTAACATTGAGAGCCATGTCACTATATATATATATATATGTGTGTGTGTGTGTGTGTGTGTGTGTGTGTGTGTGTGTGTGTGTGCATAAAATACGTGCATATTTCTGAAAATATTTTGTGATTGTATGTACATAAATAATTGCCAGCTTAGTCTGACACAAGGTCACATGATAAGAGTATCCAAAGCGACTAGCAATGATGAGATGAGATTAGTTTATTACTAGGCAGCCAAATTAAGGAAAATAGTGTCCAGTATTAAAGCAGGAAAGTTAGAAAATGGAAAATGCCTAATTCTACAGATTTGATCATGAAGTGAATATTCTTCAAACCTTGTTCTACCCTTTTATGAGTTTTTATTAAATGAACAAAAAATAAGGAATTGTATTCTATGTCGTGTCACTTCAGAGCGTGGATGATCATAGCTCTCCACAACCTCCTGTTTTTTTTTTTTTTTGTTTTTTTGTAGCTCTTGCTTCCCTTAAACTCCATTCTGCTAACCATTTACACATTTTCATTGAGCAGGGGTTATGTGCTGTTTTCCTCTGTCCCGATGCATTCATTATCTCCTGTGAGTGTCAGCTTCTCCAAACTCATCTTCCTCATCATGTGCTCGTGATATTTCAACTATTT